ATCTGCTATGATCGCCACCTCCATGTCCAGTAAAAAGGATACTGTAGACCACATTAAAACAAAATCCACTTTTGATTTTTATTGGAATATATATAAAAATAGATTCGGTTTCAGTGTGTATTTACATATAGACATTTTACAGATTTCCTGGTGCGGCGGTTGGAAGACAAACCTCTTTGCTAGTATTCAGGATTTCACTGAATGTATCATATTCTAAGTTATACAGAATCTAGATTTTTAAGTAGTTTTACAGGGTTGCAATACTTCATTTTTTGTATGGGCTTTGATTTTAAACAGTCTCTATTTTTCATGTATAACGAAAATATAATTTATAATTATAGTTTTAAACAGTCCAAACTAGTTATTTATACTGGTTTTTATCTTGAAATGAGGTTTGTGATATCTTTTGGTTTTGGTTTATTTACCTTATCGTTCTCTTATCACCCAGAGCCTTTTTTGCCATTGCATTCATTTTTGAATGGCCATTTTTTACTTTGAGTATAATTCTGTCGTTTAGACAAGAGTTTTTTTATGCAAGTCTGTAAAGAACTTGTCGTGATGTCCTCCCCAGAGCAGTATCACGCAGTAACACATGCAATCAAACGCAGGAGCCATCACTGATACGAGGGGAGATGTTTTGTCTACAAAGACCCGTGATGAAAATGTATCCTGATAGCAATCCTATTTGCACGGAAAACGCCGGACTCTCATTAAAATCCCGACTCCAATGAACGTACCTATGGGGACAGAAATACATCCTCAGGACTGCCTGACCTGAAAGCGTTTGGCTTGTGACACCCCAGTAGCGTGGCCATCACGGGACAGCGGGGCTCACCCAGGACAGTGAAGATTCCCAGATTTTCTGTTCCTGTGGTTGGGATGGGAACAAGGAGGTGTCGTCTGCGTTCCCTGTCACGAGCCGTGGAAGTTTGATAGCGTGGATTTAGGTTGAAACTATTTCAGAAGCAATTTTTATTTGTAGGCCGCAGCTTTCCTGTAAGTTTGTGTGTGTTTTTGAGGAGGAAGTGTGTTTGCTGCACAAATAATCACTGAGGATGGGGTGCGCTGGGTGTGACGGGGGCCGTGTTCCGACTCTGGGATGTCACGCAGAATACCGGGTGGGATGATTACAGCAGGAGCCAGTTTCTGTTCCGTCTCCACCTTGCTGCCTTCCACCTTCCCCTGCCATGCACAGCAAAGCCTCTTGCAGCCGCTTGCCCTGCTTTTACCTGCTCGGCTCTGCAGGTGGCAAGGGATCATCAGTGCTGCAGACATGGATGGAGCAGCCAGGGAGCCCACCTCCAGCCCAAGGAACCCACTTCCAGCCCAGGGAACCCACCTCCAGCCCAGGAAGCCCACCTCCAGCCCAGGGAACCCACCTCCAGCCCAGAGAGCCCACCTCCAGACCAGCCTAGCCCACTTCCAGCCCAGGGAGCGCACCTCCAGCCCAGCCTAGGCCACCTCCAGCCTGGGGAACCCACCTCCAGCCCAACCTAGCCCACCTCCAGCCCACCGCCAGCCCAATCCCATCCCATCCCATCCCATCCCATCCCATCCCATCCCATCCCATCCCATCCCATCCCATCCATTTCCAGCCTCATGAGCCTACTGTCCTCACATGCTGTCTCTTGCCTGGACCCCTCTTCTGCGCTGGTTGTCGTGGCTCTGCCCTGACCCTGGCCTCAGCAGACATCTGGGCGGAGGAGGCAGGGAAGCAGGAGGTGGGAAATGTGAAGTCGGCCGAGGCCGTGGAGGGTGGCCGTGGTGTTCCTGGTCCAGTAGAATGGAACAGGGTTGACTCAGTTGTAGAACCATAGAAGCACAGGTTGGAAAAGACCTCTAAGATCATGAAGTCCAACCAAGTCTGGGGGGGTGTCACTCGGCTGCTTGTCTTGTGGACTCCTGCGGACCCGCAGTCTGATGGCCGGGCAAGGAGCGGGACGGGGTGGGTCGCTGCCGCTGGGCTGGGGAGGGGCTGCTTGCTCATCTTTAACATAACGCTAGACGGGTTATGCTTCGCCTGGTCTGCCGTGGCTGTGCGTGCTCAGGAGATGCCGTGCCTCTGGCAGTGGCAAGGGCTCGGGTGGGCTCCTGCGCGCTGGGGACGCGAGCAGCAACACCTGGCCCCAACAGCGCCCAAGTGAGGGCCCAACAGCCCCCAAGTGAGGGCCCAACAGCGCCCAAGTGAGGGCCCAACAGCGCTCAAGTGAGCACCCAACAGCCCCCAAGTGAGCGCCCAACATCACCCAAGTGAGCGCCCAACAGTCCCCAAGTGAGGGCCCAACAGCCCCCAAGT